AGCACCTCCACCGCCTTCTCGACCACCGCCATCGCGATGTGCACATGCGGCGGCCCCTGCCCATGGCCCTTCCCCAACCTCTTCACCGTGTTGTTGTAGTCGAGGCCTGTGTCGGCCCCTGCCGTGACCATTGCCGACGATCCTGGGACCAGCCAGAAGTCGAATATGCCGTTCATCATGTCGCGGTTCTCCTGGCTGTTGCGCAGCGCGAGCTTCTGCACGGTGACGAGGGCCCCCCTGATGTCCGTGCTCTCGCCGTCCTTCGACTTGCCGCCCTTTCCTCGAGCTCCACCCTCTTGTCGTGCCTCCTTCTTGTCTCGTTCTAGGCCAGGCTCTCCTCCTGGTGGTGCTCTCTTCACTCTCCACGCCATCCTCGCCCGCGCAGTCTCGATCGGCAGCCTCCACCACCGAATGTGGTCCAGGCAGGTGCTGTCGGACGTGCCCCTGAAAGCTCTCGAAATTTTGAGCCGAGAAAGCACAAACGCGGCAACTCAAGTCATCGGGGACCTTCACATCGTGGCTCCACTTCGAGTGATCTACGAAGCACTTTCCAAACCTCAATGCTGCCCTGCGACCATGGTCCAAGGCACCTGCTCTATTCACGAAACAGCTCCTGCACCAGGGGCACTGGTTTGTGATGATAATCTTGCTCAATAGAGGTGTCACACCGTGTGCCTCACGACGATGGGCGATAAGGCCTGTTGCACTCAAAAACCTTTTGCCACAGGTCGTTTTTTCTCCTCCCTCCTCCTCCTTCGTGTGATCACACCAATAGGGTCTGTAGTACTCCTCCATCGCCTGCTCCTCCTCCTCAAGAATAACTGCCCGAATTTCCGCCCTCAGTTTTAACCCCGATTTCTCCTCTATATCAGGTGACACCTCCCCGTGCCTCTCGACTGCATTCAAGTGCGACGGGTCCGTTTGCAGAAACCTGTCGTTCTCTGGGCTCCCTCGTTTCAATATGCTGATATCGTCGCTTCTCGCATGGTACCAGTCGGCGAACTCGGGGTCGACGGAAGCCAAATGATCGAGGTCGGACACGAATTGTTTAGCCCAGGGGGTCGACTCGCTGTGCACTCTGAAGTCTTCGGATAATCTGGGAGCCTGGTCCATCCAAGCTGTGCCAAACACCGCTGCTACCACCGCCTGATGATCATCTGGATACTTCGCCCAGCGGAGGTAATTGCGAATCCTTCGTACTCTCAACTGTGTAGCACATCTAGGTATCTGCCATGCTCTGAAAACAAACTTCGTGGACCTGCACCTCCTCTCCCCCTCCTCCGTCACCCAGCTCATCTCTCCTTTAGATAGCACCCTCAAAAACTTCCCCAGGGTCTGGTCTAGGATGCTGACAAACTTATCAGGGATGACGAAGGCAGATAATCCACTAAGAGCGGCTTCCACTACGAAGGCCTGAAACATCGCCCGTCGTATACATTTAGCTGTGGAGGACGTCCAGAAGCACCCGCATTGTCGCCAAGCCTGTCTGGCAGCTTGACTTCTCCTGAGTACCTCGCTCAACATGCCCTGCTCGCTCGGCAAATGCGGACCTAACACGCGCATCTCTCGAAGGGCTTGGCCCTTCAGCTCTTTACTACGTCTCAAGCGGCGTGTAGTCTGGTAGTGTCGAGCCCCCCGTAGATCGAGTAGATGGTTCGTTTTGCTGGGGTTGAGCGTCCACTGCCCTTTGGCCAAGCAACTTTCCAACCTAGATGTGCTTCCGTTCAGTATCTCGGTGACCTTAGCCGCCGATGCCCCCTCCTCAATGACAGTGCTCTTCGTAATGTCGTCCATGAACACACTCAATTGGGTATCAATAGGGGGTAGGTCAGGGTGACGAGGATCTGTGGTAAAGAACCATCTGTGCTCTCCGTGCTCTCTCTCTCTCCCATCCTCCACTCCTCCACCTCCTTGTTGTATGTATTGATAAAATCTCTGGGAGCTGTAGTAAATCCCATCTGAGTACCTGTGGTGGACCTGATATCTAATGTACCGTCTGACGTCTCCATGGTCATCGTCTGTTGCCTCACCGTCGCAATAGCAAATGGTACGTCCTCGGGGCATGCATGTTCCTCTGCTTGGATCTCAAGACGTTCTCTTTCTGTCGCTGCGAAAGCATTGGTACAATCGTAGTTGCTCACGATGAGACTCTTCTTATTGCACTCCGCCCTCCACTTGTTACACATGATGATGGTGATGATGCTCTCTCTGCTTCTGTGTGCTATCCCCCCCTGTGCCCATGTAGGCGTCCATACTTTCTGTGCTCGGTAGGGTATCCCCGAGTGCCAGGCCATGGAGAATGCATCATAGCAGTGCATGATGCGCTTGCCACTTATGTTGTTTTTGCCATTTGCCTTGTCACTCGAGAAGCTCAGGGACCGGTAACTGCAGAGGGGCATGGCTTGACACCGACGGATGTGTACTAGATAATCCTGCAGCACCTTCTCAAACGCGCACGTTTCGGCGCACAACTCCGTACTCCCCAAGCCTGCCCTTTCCTCCCGACGAAACTGCCACAAGTCGCCCACCGGCGGCTCCTCTGGCGGTCGAGCGGCGCCGTCAGGTCCAGGCGCCCCGAGCCCCTCTCCCCTGGCCCACCCCATCCTCTCCAGTAGCCTCCTGCCCACTCGATACTTAAACTCCGCAGTGAATCTCTCCATCTCCTCCTCCTCCTCCATTTTTTCAGCCTGTCTAATCTGCCTTTGTTCATTCAACTCGCTCAACTTATTAGGAGACTCCATGTTGACATTCGGCTGCAATAGTAACCACACTGCTTCTGTGGGGAGGCCCCAGCTGGGATAAGCGCGTCTTTTTGCCGCCCTGCGGCAATATCTGAGCATCGAACGTCGGTCTTTCTGTACTAGATGGAGAAGGTCAGCATCAACATAGGCAAGTTCGTAGTCTTCACAGTCGTACCTATAATGACTGAGCTCGTCGTTCCAGTTTATAGCTACACCTGCCAATCCTCCATCCTTTGCCGCCTTCCCCAACTCCTCCTCCCATGTCCTGTTGTTCCATCCTGTTCTGGGGCTGTAATAATACCGACGCTTGGGCCCCCTCCCGTTGCCCTGGTAGAGTACTCTCAATTTGTGCATGTCCGAATAACGTTGTTCCACATAAGCGTTCCAAATCTGGCCTGCGAGATCCGCTCTCTTCCGAAGGAGGTGCTGCTTTCTGATCTTGTTCATGCATGCTGTGATTTCCTTTAGATCCTCGCAGACGTCCAAAAACTCCTCCTCCCCCTTGCAGTCCACCATCTTCTCCCTCAGCTCCCTCCTCCTGCCCAACATGTGCATGCGGTACGCGCGCATGTGCTCGTACATGTTGTCAACGTACAGGGGCTGCTCTGGGAACGTGTCTAGTAGAGCCTGTCTCACACACAGGCCGAAGATGCCCCAATATGCGTCTGGTGATTTTTGCAGAAGAGCTTTTTGGAAAGAGTCTTCTCCTACCTCCGATAGGTTCTTGTCAACATTCTCGAAGAATTCTCTCCTCTTGTAGCCTCTGGTCAGACATCTCATCAGGGCACTGCGGTCTGGGCGCTCTTCTTTTTGCCTCTTACTTCGATGATGGAAAAGACTGACATCCAAGTCGAGACCAACAGGGACGTGATCTCGATGGCCTCGTGCTTTGATCGTTTGCAACCTTTTTCCAGCTGTCGTAAGTGCAGCACACGCTCGTAGCTGGTGTCTTGCATTGACTGGGAACGCTATGTGATCGATACGGCTTTGTCCACCAGTGGGGCCGAAAAAGGTGTCGTTGACTTTACTGCTGGCCGATGCTATGAATAACTGGTTGCGCTCGCAGAACTCTCTGAACTCGAGACCGTTCTGGTTCTCAAGTTTCGGTCGATGTCCTCCTAAGCTGATACTCTTCGTAGTGTGGACGCTGCCGTCGCGGTCTCGAGAGAGACCGAAGTCCGAGTTGACGTCACCACCTACGATGATGTTGGTCCTCACCCCCAGCTTATCTATCTGGTCATCCAACCACTTAGTTATTTTACGAGCTATCTCACCATGTCGTTGCACCGAGGTGGGGGCAAAGTATACACCGAAAATCGCCGTGTCGATCTGTGCTGTCTGCAGTCGGATGCCTGCTACTCTACCTTGGAGTTCCGAGGGGGGTCTCATCACCGTGTGGAGGGACTGCGTGGGCAGGTTGCTTTTGACAAGAAAACTGACCCCACACGCCGTGCTCGTCAACCTGCCCTTCTTATAACCAAGCTGCACCCCCCAATGGTGTCCGAAATGGTGCTGCTGTGCTGGCTGGTCTTCGAGGGCACGATTGCTCGTACCGGTGAGGATGATGACTTCCCAGTCCTTTAATGCAGTACTGATGTCAATGATCCTATCGTGGTACGCGGCGTGCATGGGGTTGTAGGTGGCCACGCGCATGCTGTCGTTCGTGCCGTACGTGCCGCTCACCACGATGTGCTGCGCGCGCCACGCATGCCACCCCTCCCTTCCCCGCGGCCCCCTGCCCTGCTGCGACCCCGCGACTGGACGCGGTAGCACGTCGGGCTCGCCTCGCGCGCCGAAATCCCCCCCCGCGCTGCGAAACGGCGGCTGAGGAGGAGGAGGAGGAGGAGGAGCAACAAAGAGAGAAATCAAAGGCTACCTCGCCCCTTCGCGGAGGAACCTGGCGTACGCCCCCGAGAACTCGGAGGGGGAAAACCCTCCTCATCCGTGTCCTCCATCTTCTCCTCATCCATCCTGTCCTCGTCCTCCTCCTCCTCCTTGTGCCCCTCCTTGTCCTCATCCTTTTCCTGTCACTTCCTGCTGCATTACCCCCGATCCTCGCACGAGAAGAGCTCGATCCTCGCCCGAGAACAACCTCGACCCCCGCCCGCAAAAGAAGCCCAAAGCCCTCGCCCTAGGAAGCTTCGAAATCCGTCGACTTCCGGGTGAAATTGTGATTCCTGGAGCAGAAGGAGGAGGAGAAAGAGGAGGAGGAAGAAGAGGAGGCTCCAAATCCTCCTCTTCCCCCCGAAAAGCGGCTGCCCGCTGCTGCAGGTGCACCAGCTGCAGCTGCAACACCTCCACCTGCGACTCGAGGGCCTCTCCCGCCAGAGGCCGCGTCGCGGTCGCCGTCGACGCCGCCGCCGAGGCCGTCGTCGTTGTCGTCGTCGTCGTCGTCGTCGTCCCGTCCCGTCCAATGGTCCTCAATGCTTCCTCCTGCCTGCCTCCCTGCCTGCCCCCCTCCTTCATCCTGTTGCGCCTCTCTCGTGCTCTTCCTCCTCCTCCTCCTTCAAGCTTCAAGCTGCGGACCATTATGCTATACTCCTCCTCCTCCTTTTCCGCATGCCTCTTCCCCCTGCTCCTGCCTCCCATACGTTCTTCATCCCTCCTCCTCTTCCTCCTCCTTCTCCTCCTCCTCCTTCTCCTCCTCCTTCTCCAAATCCTTCACATCCTCCCTCCCTCCTCCTCCTCCCTCCTCCATCTCCTCCACCTCCTCCTCCTCCTCCTCATCATCATCATCCGCATCCTCATCCGCATCCTCCTCATAGTCATCCCTTGGTATTTCACTCGCCCGAATTCCCTATTCCTCCGTCCGCCACCCCCACGCGAGTGCCGATCCCAGAGCGAGGAGCGCGCGGTGCGAGGTCGCGCCGACGCCGCTTGGGAGTGGAGTTGGGTAGAGAGCAGAGGCAGGAGCATCAAAGCTTCTAGGTTCACCAACCTTCACGGAAATCCTCGCGTCGTGAAAACTCACGGAGGACAATTTGTAGTATTTTCGGCCTCTGGGGGCCCTTGCCGGGCCCTACTTTCGAGGGCTGCTGATGGGTCCTGCGGAGTGAGGCACCGCGCAGATCTGAGCGTGACCTCGCCGTCCCTGGGGGGCTGAGATCTGCGAAATTGTCGCCTCTTTCGAGGGCTGCTGGTGGGTCCAGCGGAGTGAGGCACCGCGGGGACCTGAGCGAGACCTCGCCGTCCCTGGGGGGTGCTGCGATCTGCGACACTGTCGCCACGTCCGAGGGCTGCTGGTGGGTCCGGCGGAGTGAGGCGCCGCGCAGATCTGAGCGAGACCTCGCCGTCCCTGTGGGGCTGCGATCTGCGAAACTGTCGCCACTTTGGAGGGCTGGTGGTGGGTCCCGCGGAGTGAGGCACCGCGGGGACCTGAGCGAGACCTCGCCGTGCCTGGGGGGCTGCGATCTGCGAAATTGTCGCCTCTTTCGAGGGCTGCTGGTGGGTCCAGCGGAGTGAGGCACCGCGCAGATCTGAGCGGGACTTCTCCGTCCTTGGGGGGCTGCGATCTGCGAGACCGTCGCAACTTTCGAGGGGTGCTTGGGGGGCCAGCATAGCGATCTGCGGAGCTGTCGCCACATTCGAAGACTGCTGGCGGGTCCAGCGGAGTGAGGCACCGCGCAGATCTGAGCGGGACCTCGCCGTCCCTGTGGGGCTGCGATCTGCGAAACTGTCGCCACTTTCGAGGGCAGGTGGTGGGTCCAGCGAAGTGAGGCACCGCGCAGATCTGAGCGAGACCTCGCCGTCCCGGAGGGGCTGCGATCTGCGAAGCTGTCGCCACTTTCGAGGGCTGCTGGTGGGTCCTGCGGAGTGAGGCGCCGCGCAGATCTGAGCGAGACCTCGCCGTCCCTGGGGGGCTGCGATCTGCGAAACTGACGCCTCTTTCGAGGGCTGCTGGGGTGTCCTGCGGACTGAGGCACCGCGGGGACCTGAGCGAGACCTCGCCGTCCCTGGGGGGCTGCGATCTGCGACACCGTCGCCACTTTCGAGGGCTGCTGGTGGGTCCGGCGGAATGAGGCACCGCGCAGATCTGAGCGGGACCTCGCCGTCCCCGGGGGGGGCTGCGATCTGCTAAATTGTCGCCACTTTCGAGGGCTGGTGGTGGGTCCAGCGGAGTGAGGCACCGCGGGGACCTGAGCGAGACCTCGCCGTCTCTGGGGGGCTGCGATCTGCGAAGCTGTCGCCACTTTCGAGGGCTGCTGGTGGGTCCTGCGGAGTGAGGCGCCGCGCAGATCTGAGCGAGACCTCGCCAGCCTCCTGCTCCCGCTCTTGGGCCCATTGTGGGCCTGTTCTGGGGCAGTCTGGGGCTATCCTGGGCGCCTCTTCGGCAATCTTGGAGCCTTCTTGGCTCGTCTTGGGGCCGTCCTGAGGGTCTCATGGGTGGTCTTGGGGCGGTCTTGGGAGCCTCTTCTGCGCTCTTTGACCATTGGAAGCTCGAAAACGCGAGAAGCCAAAAACATTGCAAAAACAAATGGGAATCGACGATTTGGGCCTCTTCGGGCCGTCCCAGGACGCCTCTCGGACCTCTCTTGGGGTCTCTTGGAGGCCACCTGGGAGCCTCGAGAGCCGTCCCTGACTTGGGCTGCTTGGGAACGTCTTGGACCATCTTTTCGCATTCTGGGTGCTCCTGGAAGGGGTCTTGGGCCCTCCTGGGGCGCTGTGGAGGCTCCCCGGAAAGGCCTCGTGGGCTCCTGGGGGGCGTTCTTGGGCGGTGTGGGCGCCTCGTGGGCCGTCTTGGCCCCCTCGTGGGCCGTCTTGGGGCCCTCTTGGGGGCATCCTCGACCGCCTTGGGTGCCTCTTGGGCCGTCTTGGATGCAGTGGACGCCCAAAAGGCAAACACGCTAAAAATATAAGTTTTCCCATCGGAAGTCGACGATTGTTGCTTATTGGGCCACTCTCGGGGTGCCTCTTGGGGGGTCTTCGGAGCCTCTTTTGCTATCTTTTCGGGTCTCATGGGGGCCTCTTGGGGCTTCTGGGCCCCTTCTTGGAGCGTCTTGGGGTCTCCTAGGGTCTCTTGGGCCAAAAGGCATGAATTTCCGGTTCCTCGTCCCCGTCTTGGGCGCCGCCTTGGGGCGTTCCTGTGCGGTGTGGGCGCCTCGTGGGCCGTCTTGGCCCCCTCGTGGGCCGTCTTGGGGCCCTCTTGGGGGCATCCTCGACCGCCTTGGGTGCCTCTTGGGCCGTCTTGGATGCAGTGGACGCCCAAAAGGCAAACACGCCAAAAATATCAGTTTTCCCATCGGAAGTCGACGATTTTTGCTTATTGGGCCACTCTCGGGGGTGCCTCTTGGGGCGTCTTCGGAGCCTCTTTTGCTGTTTTTGTCGGGTCTCATGGGGGCCTCTTGGGGCTTCTGGGCCCCTTCTTGGAGCGTCTTGGGGTCTCCTAGGGTCTCTTGGGCCAAAAGGCATGAATTTCCGGTTCCTCGTCCCCGTCTTGGGCGCCGCCTTGGGGCGTTCCTGTGCGGTGTGGGCGCCTCGTGGGCCGTCTTGGCCCCCTCGTGGGCCGTCTTGGGGCCCTCTTGGGGGCATCCTCGACCGGCTTGGGTGCCTCTTGGGCCGTCTTGGACGCAGTGGACGCCCAAAAGGCGAACACGCCAAAGGTATCAGTTTTCCCATAGGAAATCGACGATTTTTGCTTATTGGGCTCTCTCGGGGTGCTTCTTGGGGTGTCTTCGGGGGCATTCTTGGTGTCATGGGAGTCGTCTCGAAAAGCGTCTGGAGCCATTGCTGCGGCCTCCTGGGGCCTCCCTGCATCCTCTTGGTTCCCTGTTGGCTCCGGGACGCCGAAACCTTGAAAAAACAGAGGGAAAACGACGCCCGGAACCCCCATGCGCTGTCGAGGTCGCGGTCCCCGGCGCCCCAGCATAATAGATAGATACATAGATATATAGATAGATAGATAGATAGATAGATAGATCGATCGATAGATAGATAGATAGATAGATAGATAGATAGATAGATAGATAGATAGATATAGATAGATAGATATCTATAGATAGATATATAGATATATATAGATATATAGATATATAGATGGATATATAGATATATAGATATATAGATCGATATATAGATATATAGATAGATAGATAGATAGATAGATATATAGATAGATAGATAGATAGATCGATAGATATATATATATATATAGATAGATAGATAGATATATATATAGATATATATATATAGATATATAGATACATATATAGATAGATAGATATATATAGATAGATAGATAGACAGACAGACATATAGATCGATATATATATATATATATATATAGATACACGCATACATACATACATACATACATACATACATACATACATACAGACAGACAGACAGACAGACAGACAGACAGACAGACAGACAGACAGACATACATACATACACACATGGAGGCACCCTCCGACTAGCTTTGCTCGAACCTTCCGGGAGGGCGGCGGCGTATACCTTCGCTGGCTCTTAGTTGTGAGTGATACACCGCCACCCTCCCCTGAGGCACACGAACAATCCGTTGGAGGGTGTCTGTTTGTACTTTCTGTGGCGGGGGGGGGGGGGGGGGGCCAGCGTGGGAGACGGGGAAAGATGTTATGTTGCAACTCTTAAAAGACCTTCTCTGCCTCATCGGGCCGCCATCCGCATCGAACCCTCGCCGAAGCACTCCTATGTCGAACTTGTCGAATCCGCGTCGACTTCACGTCGTTGAATCCACGGCAGAACCGCATCGGGTACAAGAGCAAACAGAGCTTGCAGGACAGACAGGGCCCCCCGAAGATGCAGCAGAGAAATGAAGGTGCGACGCAAATAGGGCTGCTTCGTGCGCAGGCGCCCAGGGCGCAGCGGCCGGTGATCCTGCCCATCGTGATGTCATGGCTGATCACTTTTGGGCTGGGCAGATCGTCGAACCAAGACTGGAAGATGGGACGCAACGGGACACACTGGTACTGTGCGCCCCCGTTGGAGGCGCACGCCCGAGCCGAACATGGAACCCGGACACCTTGTAGCATGTTGCTACCCAGGCTGTGTAGCCAGAAAGCGCCCGCCAACGAACACATACTGTCAGATTCCTGCGCGCGTCGTCCCTGAGGGGCCGACGCACACATAGCAAACATCGGGTTGGGGTAATGCCGAGAAGAGTGCGTACATTGGAAGGTACTCCTCCAGGCAGCAGGCTGGCCCAACTCTCGGGTGTTGGGGCATTGGCCGCGCGTGAAAGCCGAAAACCGGCGTCAAGACTGCGGCCGCCAGGGAAGAAGGAAAAAGCAGGATGAGAGAGGAGGAGAAAGAGAAGGAATGATCGCGGGCGTTGCATCATGTGAGGGGCAATGAACGGGGGTGAAAGAATGTGCAAATTTCGTCACCTTCGGGGCCCCAGTTGACCCCTCAAAAGCCCCTGAAGGGCCCAGTGCTTGCAACCCTCGATCCCCCTCGTCATTGCCCTAGATTGAACACGACAACAATAGTAATGGTTGTTGCCATCGCGCGCGCGAAGCTATACCCAGCCTGTCAATTGCTGGACCGCCAGTCTGCGCTGCCGGTCCCCATTCGAGCAGATGTCACGCACGTGTTCAGAAACGCTCTGGGCATGAGGGACGCCGGCGGATAGCCAATTTTCCGCCCTCACCATCTTCCTACCGCTCCACCCTCCTCGCGCGTGGCCGAACCCGCTCTCCCCTCCCCCTCTCATCCCTCGAAACACTTTTCCCCCGACATCCTTGAAAACCGCATTCTTCTCCCGTTTTTTATCTCAATCACCCTCATCACAACCACCACCATCATCAACGCCAACACCGCTACAACCGTCATCCATTGTCGTGACCATCACCCATGTCCATCATCCTTTTATCTTCGTGTTTCTGCTCTTCCTCCTCCTCCTCCTCCTCCTCCTCCTCCTCCTCCTCCTCCTCCTCCTCCTCTTCCTCCCCCTTCTGGCACTCACGACCGTCCGAAAGCAAGAACTCTACGCACTGTCTGGTGTTCCTGCTCGCCCCGTCGGGGAGCTATAAACTAGGATCCCCTCTTCGGGTGAGAAGCCGGATGTGGAGGCGTATGAGATATAACAGCAAAAGCGACGGGGTAACGAAGAAGTGTTGATCAAGTGGGCAGGGCTAAGCCAGGAGTCCAACCTAGCAAGTCAAGTTCGGTTAAAGTGATTGTGAACATGACTGGTGCAAGCAGAAGGCGCCGATGGTTTTGACGCAAACGTGCGGGTGCCTCCTAACAAGCAGTACACACTAGTACCAGGACCGAAACTGGTCCCGAGCTCAAATCCCAAGCAAAGCGGCACGTCATGAATACCGGATGTGGATTCAGCGAACACTTGGTGGCGGGTGCCAGCTCGTGCCTTCGGCTGACAAGGTGCTGGTTGGCACCTCGCATCTGCATGGATCTGCTTTCTCTGCTCTCGTACTTCATGAGAACACCAGCAGAAGCTTTAATGAGCTCTTACTTTGATCGCATTGATGTCCCCTCGTCGTACCGTCTCCTGAAATAAAAGTTGGCAGACTTCCATGTGTCAGAATCCGCGCCTGCTCGCTCTGGCAATTACTGCGCTCGCATCGCTCTTGGACGAGATACCATAATCAATCTCGGCGTCCTAAGAACCGCTTGTAGTCCTAATTAATGCTACATGAGCACCTTTAAACATTCCGAAAGATTCGAGTTATCCAGAAGACAATGCTACGACATCCTGAATCGAATTCAATAACTTATGAAGTGCGGCCCCCAAAACACTGTTCCTTCACTCATCGACTTGTGTGTTCTTTTGCACCCTTCATAGACGGCGCCCGCCCGCACAAAACACTCCAACGGTCGTTCTTGTACAAATACCGGTCCCAACACATGCCGTGGTTCTTGAGGCACTTGCCCAACATTTTGAAACTTGTCCATGCCCCACGTGTTGGGGCTGACATCGAACACGGAGAGAGCGTGATCCGACGCCGTCTTACTCTGGAAAATTCCCCCCCTCTTCCTCCGGAGCCCGGAGTTCCCCCCCCCCTCCGAAAATCCCCCCCCCCTGCTGGACCCCCCCCTTCCCCTAGCAAAACAACCCCCCCTCCCCTAACCCTCCCACCCCTCCAGAAAACCGGAGGGGGTCATCACTGGTTCGAACCCCCCTTCCCCTCTCGGAAAACCGGGAGGGGTCACTACCGGTTCGAATCCCTCCCCCCCCCTCGAAAACCACAGAAAGGTCACTACTGGTTCGAACCCCCCACCCCCCCCCAGTCCATCATGAAAAGCCCCGGGGGGGCACTACCGGTTCGAACCCCCCCCCCTCGAAAACCGGAGGGGGTCACTACCGGTCCGAACCCCCCCATCGAAAACTAGAGGGGGTCAATACCGGTTCGAACCCCCCCCCTTTCCCCTCGAAAACCGGAGGGGGTCACTACCGGTTCGAACCCCTCACCCCCCCCTCACCGCCAGCAAACGACTCCCGGTCCCTACCACCGTCCGCACCACTTCCCCCACTGCTGTTCCCAGCACCACTGTCACCACCACTGTCCCCGCTGGTTCCACCACCGTGCCTACTGTCCCCACCAGTGCCCCCACCACTGTCCCACTGTCACCACTGTCCCCGCCACTGTTCCCACCGCGTTTCCACTCTCCCCACTTTCTCCACGGCCCCAACCAGTGCCCGACTGTCCCCAATGTCCCCGCTGTCCCACTGTCTCCTCCGCTGTCCCGCTGAGCTGTCCCGCTGTTCCCACCACTGTCCCCACCCACCACTGTACCTGTGTCCCATTGTCCCACCGCCGTCCTCGCCACCGCCCTCACCACTGTCCCCACCACCACTGTACCCTCCACTGTCCCACTGTTTCCACCACATTCCCATTGTCCCCACACCAGTGTCTCCACCACCACCGCTCCCACCACTGTCCCACTGTCCAGAACTGTTCCCACCATTGTCCCCGCTGTTCCCACCAGTGCCCCCACCAGTGCGTCAATGTCCCACCACGGACCCGCTCTCCCCGTTTTCCCCACGGTCCCCACCACTGTCCCACTGTACCCACTGTACCCACTACTGTCCCACTGCCCCCGCTGCTGTCCCACTGTGCTGTCCCAGCGTCCCCACTGTCCCCATCACTGTCCCACTGTCCCCACTGTCCTCACAATTTTCCCCACTGTGCTACTCTCCCAGCACTGTCCTCACCACCGCTTTCACCACTGTCCCCACCACTACCGTCCCCACCAGTGTCCCACTGTCCCCACCACTGTCCCGCTGTCCCCTTCACCACTGTCCCCACCGCCACCGCCCACACCACTGTCCGCACCCACCCCCGGCTTTCGAGGGGGGGGTTCAAACCAGTAGTGACCCCCTCCAGGTTTCGAGGGGGGGGGTTCGAACCAGTAGTGGCCCCCTCCGGTTTTCGAAGGGGGGGTTTGAACCGGCAGTGACCCCCCCCGGTTTTCCGGACGGGGGGGGGATTCGAACTGGTAGTGACCCCCCCCGGTTGTCCGGACGGGGGGGGGGATTCGAACTGGTAGTGACCCCCACCCCCCTTCCCTTCTCATGATGGATTGGGGGGGGAGAGGAGGGGTTCGAACAGGCAGTGGCCTCCCGCACATAACTTTCCGGAGGGGAGGGGGGTCGAACCGGCAGTGACGCCCCCGGTTTTCCGCCAGCAGCGGTAGAACACGCTTTGTCCGAACACGCAAGCTCCTTGACTGAAAACTGCATGCCCGAGCGGTCCTGCGCAATATCGGTTGCCCAGTCCACTAATGCCTGGCATTTCGCAACTTTATGACTTTGGAGGAGCTCCTCGTCCTCTCCCTCGCAGGGTTGCGACCTGCCTGGTACCTCACACATTTTCCGTCTTCTGATCCAGACCCAATTCCTTGACAATTATCCCCGCATGTCCGTGATCCACTTGGCACCATGGCCCATTCCAGCCCCATTGCACAATTCGGTGGAGGATCCTGACCGAATTCAAATATGTCAGCCCAGGTCTGAGTCTACCTCGAATTAGAACTTCGAATCCCCCATCAATGTCATTCCCGAAGCTGTCGAGATCAACGCAACTACGAAATAATTCAAAATCATCCCCGCGCACCGTGACACAGCTTCGCCGCGTTTCATGTGTAAGTACACATGGCGATGGCCTCCCCGTGCCAAAACCGATATCGCGTGCAGAATACATGTAGCAATCGCCCCATGTGCTGGCGGGGACTCGGGCTCGTCCACGTGCCAGGTAAACGATCTTCTTCAGGCGCTGCGATGAAGATGTCCTCATTGACCGTGGCGCGCAAGCACACCCGTCGATCGCCTATAAACGCCGGCACTTCCTGGCGCCACCACGATTGTTTCCTGCCCCTTCAGCGGCGGTCATCGAGAATGACAGTTTCTGGGCTTCCCAAAAAAGCGCGGCTGCAAACTGACTTCTCGCGCTGCGCCACCGCGTGCCCCGCGCGCCCCTGGGGCTTTCAACCGCCCCTAGTGCTGGCGCGCTACGCAGATCCATTGCCGAGGCTGCGTGTCCCGGGTAACTCGGCAAGCGCGCAAGATGGCGACGCGCGCCCCCCTTGACCCCCCCCCCGCTCCATTCTCGCAGTATCACGGGCCCCTGTCCTCGAGCACCTGGCCGGAGTCCAAGTCCAGAGCAACTCCGCGCAGGCATGCGCGCCGCGCTGGCCCCGAATGTCCTGCAAGCGCGAGACGAGATGCGCCATGGATGATTCTAGCCCTCTGGCCCCATGTCCACGCTAATTCAGTGCGTGCCCGATCTCATGAATTTCAAACTTCTTCGTCTGGTCCAATCCAGTTGAGCCCTGGATGACAGGCCATAAAGGATCGCCCGAATCGATCATCCGACGTCATCTGGTTAATTGAGCCCTTTAAGTATATCCCGACAAAGATAGTTCGGGTACGACTCCGATCTCATTGTTCTGACTCCCCCGTATAACTCGATGCGTCGACGCTGACATGGGCATAACTCGCGGAAGGCCTTTCCTGTGATATGGAATGGCGCGCACCACCGATGGCTTTGTCGAAAGCGACCGAGGCTCGAGCGATCTGCGTTGCTCTTAGGCCAAGGGCCCTGACGTATATTGAGCAACAATGATAGCGGGAGAGCGGGATAGGAGCAACACGCGCAGAGGGCAGAGAAATAAGCGGCAGACCGGCGGAAGGGCGATGAACCGCGCTCTTCCTGTTTGGCGCCGCGGGCAGCCGCGGCGACGAACGCCGTAGTTCGGTCGCAACTTCCTTACGTCGGATTGAATTATCGAAATATTTCGGCATCGGCAAGAGCGCCGAACACGGCGCTTCTCACGCGAGAGGGGCAGGCGAAAGGGCCTGACACTGCTTGTGCCAGGGGGCCCCCGGCCACTGCTCGGTGAGCTGCACGAGCCTGGAATTATTCACTGCGTGGAGATCCCCATCTGCGCATTTATTCGCGCGGACCTGTCCGCCGCGAGCGTCTTGCCGCAAGAGTTGCGGTCTGATCGCGAGCCTAACTGCGAATGTTTGGAGCGTGCATGAGTTCTCAGGAACACGAGCGCGTCTCTGCGCATGAGCCCGGGCCCTCCTGGGGCCTCCTGGAACCTCCTGGGGCTCCCTGGGGCCTCCAGTGGCCTCTTGTGGCCTCCTGGAACTTCGAGCGGTCCCCCGAGGCCTTCTGGGGCCTCGCGTGGCCCCCCGCGGCGCCCCGGAGCCCCCTGGGACCTCCTCGGGAGGATTCGTGTCCCGGGGGGGGCCCAATCTATAGGAACAGACGCACATAAGACATTGCGGATTGGAGCCGCAGGAGAAGGGCAAACTATAGGAACACACGCAAAACACTTAGGACTCCTGCCCCAAGGGAGGCCCAATCTATAGGAACACATGTAAGACATGTGGGATTGCACACACAGGAGAAGGACAATATATAGAAACATACGTACAACATCGACGATTCGTGCTCCAGGTTAGGCCCAATTTATGGGGGCATATGTAAAACACTCGGGATCGGAGCCGCAACTGTTGCCTTCTGACGCCTACTGCTCCTGGGGCCTCCCGTTGCTTTCCGGTGCCTCCTGGCGCTTTCTGTGGCCTCCTGTGGCCTCCTGTGGCTTTCTGAAGCCTCCTGGAGTTTCCTGGTGCCTCCTGGAGCCTCTTGGGACATCCTGTGGCTTCTTGGGTCTTCCTGTGGCCTCCGGATGCCTCCTGGGACCTCGCGTGGCCTCCTGGGGCATCCTGGAACCTGCTGGAGCCCCCCGCGGCATCCTGGATAGAATCTGCGCCCACGAGTCTGGTCACCAAAACAAGCAAACCGATCGAGACATCCTCAACCCCCCCCCTTGGGCAGCGAAAGTGAGCGCCTCGCTCGAGACGCCCCCCAAATCTGCTCCGAAAGCGAAGGATGTTGAGCATGCTGACAAGCCAATCGCTCGAGGCATCCACGCAATCTGGGCCCCTTGGACTCAAGGCAATTGCAGGGTCGCCCATCGTCGCCTCGATCTAGAACTGCGCGGCCCCCTGCGCCAGCAATCTCACGAGCAGGCCCAATATTTGTTCAACGCCAGCTACTTGGATGGGCATGCCCACCATGGATCCCTTGCATTTCCCCCGCAATAACCGGCTGCCCGTGGTTTCTGACGATTGGCCCATCCGCGGAGCTGCAGCGTTTGCCGTTCTTCGAAGCGTCCGCGGGTTGGACTGGGATGTGAGTTCCCACGCTTGGAGGTCCAACTGCGTCGCGGGCCCCTGGGCCCGCGGCAGCAGCAAACACATCCGTCGCACTGACCCGGCCCCCCACTGGCACCGCGTATACTTACCTTTGTCGGGGGCCTTCGTGCCCATAAACTGTTGCTCGGCGTGCTCGAGCATCCAACGTTTCGCCGGCTTGATGCGCCGCGAAATCCAAGCGCCCCAGCTGGCGCCATGGTTGCAGGGGGCGCCGTACTCATGCAGTGCATACTTCCTCTTTGTCACAAACCTGGCTTCCTGGTCCTCCCGCATCGCCGCCCGGCGCTGCATCCTCGACTCGCGGGCCCCCTTAGCCGACTCTGTTGCAATGATGTTGCCCGTGGCTCCGCCATTGTCAAAGCCTTCGCCCATTTCGACACTGTGCCGCCCTGGTCCAGGCAGGGGTTGCCCCGACATCTGCGCGGGCTCTTCTGGGCCGCCATCTTTTGTTCGGGGTGGCCTCGTGCGCGCTTGTGGGGCAGCTGGCTGCGACGGTGTTGCTGATCGGCGCAAGTGCTACCTTACCTCCTCATTCCCATCCTGGGTTTTTCCCCTTGGTCATATCCTTGGGCCCCCCGCGTGTCTAGCCTCCTTTGACGCGACCTCCTGGTAACCCGCGGTGCCCTGGCACCCTCCTTTGCATCCTCCCACCTGCGCTCCTTGGAAGCCTCCCGTTCATGTGGTGGGTCCTTTGCTGGCGAAGTCTCCGGCAACGTGCGCGTGTCCTCCGCACCTGTAGCACGTGAGCCCGCGCCCTGTGCGTTTTCCTTTGCCCACCCCCCTCACGTCGCCATTTCCGCTCGCGTCTTCCCCGCTCCAGGCCCAACAGTTTCGAACTCGTTTGCTCCTCTGCATCACTCGCAGGTGCCATCAACGTTTACTCGACCGATCTGCGTCGAACTCTCGTTTCTTGTGCAGGCGTGCAATCTCTTCTACCTTGCCAAGTCTTCGCAGCTGATGAAGAACTGTTCGTTGGTGTCAACGTTTAACGACTCTGGGGTCTCGAGGCAATCCTGTTGCCAGTCGCCGGGCCAATCGCCAGAGAAAGCCGTGCTAGTCCTTAGCGTGGTAACGCTTAACGTGAAGTGTACCGAGTATGAGGAACCATTTGTCCCCAAGCACTCCACACACGCACTGCGTTGCTCGAGTTGGGTCGCCGCATCGATCACCTCCTTGGGCTTGTCAGGGTTCATGGACAGGTTAACCTTCTGTGCGGGCGTGACTCTGGTATCGGTCGAATGCCACTTGTATAGCTTCTGCTGTGCAAGTAGGCCGTCGCCCTCATGTAATAGTGTAAGCTTTCCGCGAGGCTCCGTGCCCTCCAATTTGTCTCCAACCACTACCAGGAGGTCCTCGTCCAACTTGGCGTAATCTCATCTTCGTCAATATCAGATTTCTTGTTTGCATGATCCTCTCGTCCTTTGGTAAGCGATGCCTTGGTGTATTCGCTCAGCGTCAACCTTCAATTTATGGTTTTGCCGAGGTAATATTCCCCGTAATCGGGTAGCGCCTATCCATCGTTTCGAGCTTGTTGCTCAAATTCTTAAGGGTTGTCCGGCAACCGTTCTTCAGTTGGGCGAGCGCATCCAGGAGCCTCTCGCTCCATTCTTTGAGAGTGGTCCTGTCGCCCGAGACGGTTTTGAACTGTCGCTCACAGAATTGTTTCAACCTCGTTCTGCCCTGGCGTGTCCTGCCGACTGTATTGCCCTCTGCGATCTAGGTAACATGTTCCGAGGCGTCCGCTTGATGAGCTGTTCCATCATTGCCAACAGTCCTGGTGCCCTGTGTGGCACTGCGCCCAAATAAGAGATTCATGTACTCGCGGCTGGCCTTGAGCGCCGGGCCAAAGTAGCTGAAAACCCCGTTCTCGCAACCTGCATTGCACACTTCTGCGGTAGGTTTTGCGCTTAGATGTTTCAAGGCTTCGCGTATTTCAAACAAAGATGCGGTCTGACCCGGGTCGTTGTTGCCGCAGTCCACTGGGGCCACTGCAACGGTCACCGCTGCCAGTTCTGCTCTGGAACCCGTGAGGCGAACCAGGCGCTCCGCTTCCATGAAAACAATACTCGAGCCAATCGGCGTCGGTAGCGACGAACGTCCGGCAGCAACACCTTACACACTTCTTGGTGCACCTGCTCACTCAGTCGGAACGCTATAAACTAACACCTCCACCTCCTCCTCCTCCTTCTCCTCCTCTTTCTCCTCCTCTTCCTCCTGCTCCTGCTCCTCCTCCTCCTCCTCCTCCTCCTGCTCCTCCTCCTCCTCCTCCTGCTCCTCCTCCTCCTCCTCCTCCTCCTCCTCCTCCTCCCTGTTGCCGCATTATCCTCCTCCTCCTCCTCCTCCTCCTGCTCCTCCTCCTCTTTCTCCTCCTGCTCCGCCATCCTTGCCCAATCATTTCATCTCTACCCTATTCTCCACCAGTTTTTCCTCACGCTCTTTCACGCCTTCTTTCTCACTATCCTCTTCCTCCACTCCTCACCTTGCTTCCCTTCTCATTACCATCCTCGACCCCCCCCCCGTCCACCCTCCTCCCGCTGCGTGTCTCCCCATCCTCCTCCACCTCCTCCTCTGTCCTAGTCACCACCACCACCATCATGATGATGATGATCATCATCATCATCATCATCAGCATCAGCGTCAGCCACATCATCATCGTCACAATCATCACCATCATCATCATAATCATCAACCTCAAAATCATCATCAGCATCAGCATCAACATCAGCATCGTCACCATCACCACGCTGAGCCTCATCATCATCATCAACATCATCATCATCATCATCATCATCATCATCATCATCATCATCATCATACTCATACTCATCATCATCCTCACCGTCACCATCGCCATCAGATCCGTCATCATGGTCATCATCATTACCAGCAACATACTCATCCTCGTACGAATCATCATCACTATCGTCGTCATCACCATCGTCATCGTCATCGTCGCCGTTCTCATCACCACCACCATCATGAGCACAATCATCGGCAGCATCAGCACCAGCATCAGCATCATCACCATCACCATCATCATCACCACCATCATCATTACCATCGCCATCATCATCATCATCAGCATCATCATCATTATCAGCAGCAGCATAATCATCATCATTTACAGCATCATTATCATCATCAGCAGCAGCATGATCATCGTCATCGCCATCGTCCTCGCCACCACCATCATGATCATAACCATCATCATCAGCAGCAGCATCATCAGCATCAGCAGCATCATAATCATCATCCTCACCATCACCATACCCACCACCTATCATCATCACCATCATCATTATCAGCAACAGCATCATCACCAGCAGCAGCATCAGCATTACCACCACCATCTCATCATCAGAGAGAGCGCGTTTCACTGGTGCGTGGCTTGAAAACATGGATCCCCGCCCTTCCGAAAACCAGGCGGAGTGGGAGCATCCGAACAATTCCCCCCCCCCCGCCCTCCGCCGAAACCCGGGGGGGGGGGCCCTTATCCCCGCCCCCTCTCCCCCGTTGGGTTGGAGCGGGCAAAAACAGCACCCCCGTTCCCCTCCCCCAAAAGGAGCCCCCCCATGGGTGGGGTCGGGGGGAGGGCGAAAAAGGACGGGGGGGGCCCACCCCCCAGGGGGGGGGATGGAGGGGGGACCCTCCTCATCCTCCTCCTTCTCTTCCTGGCTCCTGCTCCTCCTCCTCCTCCTCCTCCTCCTCCTCCCCTTCCCTCTCCTCCTCCTCGAAGTCCATTTCCTTGCAAACAACTCTTCCCTGTCGCACCCCGAGGCCAGTCGAAAGGGCGGGCCAGCCGTTTCGCCAGAGACTTCCTCGCCATTTGTGACCTTGAAGTCTCAATTAACAACAGCTTCACAGATGGAGGGCGGGTGGTTTTCAATTTGTGGCTCTCGCGTTAGCGCCGCGCACGTTCGCTTGAAATATTGTAAGAATTTCGCGGGTTGAGGGCGGGTCATTTTCAAAATGCGGCTCTCGCATGCGCGACGCGTGCACTCGTATTAAACATTTGCCAGGGCTTCACGGATTGAGGGCGGGTCGCCGCGCACATTCGTTTTAGAAAGAGTTTCACGGGTTGAGGGCGGGTCATTTTCAAAATGAGGCTCTCGCCATAAAGCCGCGCACATCCGCATTAAAAGTTCGCAAACGTTTAACGCATTCTCATGCTTATGATACCAGAAATGGGGTTTCGGACCGAGTCATGGATGTCAGGGCGCAACAGTTACGTTGATTCGAAAGTTGAAATCCCAAGAGTGGCAATCTGGGACCATTCAAGATCGCCAAGACCTCACATAAATATTAACTCGTGCCGTTGGAATCCTGAGAAAGGTCTTTGACACGCTTCAAAATGTTTACACGGTTGTCTCCTAACTGGGCGACTCTTTCCGTGGAAACGAGCCCTTGTATTGGGCATATGAAGAGGGAGCCTGGAGGGAGGGTGTGTTCCAACATCGCCGATGAGTCTTAGGTTTACGCTGGCCCTCATCCTCCTCCTTCTCTTCCTCCTCCTTCTCTTCCTCCTCCTCCTCCTCCTCCTCCTCCTCCTCCTCCTCCTCCTCCTCCTCCTCCTCCTCCTCCTCCTCTCTTGAGGCCCCTGAAGCCCCCCAGGGGCTCCTCTCCCCCGGCGCGGGAGCGGCGCGGGCGGCGGCGCGGGCGCGGCTACAGCTCCCAGAGGCTGGCGTCGTCGCCGCCCGCGGCGGCGGCGGACTCTCGGGCGGGCGGGGCCCCTGGCGAGGCCGCGGCCGCCACGGCGGCGGAGGCCGCTGCCGCCGTGGCCGCGGCAGCGCCGCCCGCCCCCGCCTCCTCCGGGCCCGGCTCCGCGGCGGCGCGCGGCGGCTCGGGCTGGGCCCGCTCCACCTAAGACAGAGCCAGGACGAGGAGAACGTCGGCTTCCATCGGGTCAGGATTGAATCGGTGGGGAGAAAGACGGAGTCCAGCCCCGCCCCCCCCCAGACATGTGATCAGGGTCGCGAGGTCCATCCACATCCTAAGACGAAGCCAGGACGAGGGCAACATCGTGTGAGGATACATCGAGAATCTGTCAGATCCGGCGGCTCTGGAGGACGTCTCCGGCGCCGAGGCCCTCCCAGAGCGTTCCCGAACGCTCCGAGAGCATTCCGGAATGCTCTTGAACGGGTTTGCCCTCGTCCTGGCCCCGTCCGACACCAACCCTCTCCCGAATGCTTGGCTTCCGGGCCATAGCTCGGGACTCCGGCAGCCGTCGGGGGTGATCCAGGCACCCCCTGGGACGCACTCGGCGCGGCGCAGCTGCTGGGACGCAATCCGAGGCAGGAACACCTCGAGGAACTGACGACAACATGCGAACTCCAAGTGTCCCCACACCACCCCTCACCACACGGTATGGCCATAGCGCTTTTTGGGGGGGGGCCTTCGAAGAGCCCCGTCCGACCACCTCGAGGTAGCACGGGGTAGGCCAGGGACAAGCCTAGGTAGGCCCAGGGGTAGGCCAGGGTAGGCCCAGGGAAGGCCCAGGACACGCCTGGGGTAGGCCAAAGTAGGCCCAGGATTTGCCGTCCTGGCCCCGTCCGACCACCTCCACGGAGGTGGTGCCGTCCTCCACGTAGCGCGCCCGGAGCTCGCCGCGCCCCCCGACCGTCCGCCCGCCCAGCTCGGCCAGCGCCCTGGCCGCGTCGGAGGTGGCCTCGAACTCGACGAACGCCTGGACCGCCTCGGCCTCCTGGGCCGCATCGGAGACGACCTGGACAGTGCACCGCAGTACGCGCCCGTACCTCTAGGCGGGCGACGATCGAAAACTGATCTTATGCGAGATGGCAAAACGATCTTACGCGGTGGCTTACGCGGGCCGCCAGCGCGGCACGCCACACTGGACACGAGGGCGCTTACGCGCGACCTTACGCGGGCAGCTTGCGAGCCAATGTCGGCGCAGTCGACCCCGTATTCCTTTGTCGCCCAGGTGGCGACATCCGAACCCTACCCCCACCAAGCATCGATCCTCCTGAGTCGATGGGAAACAAAGGTAGGGTTCGGATCCTGCCACATGTTCGACGAAGTCCGAACCCTGCCCTCGCCGCCCATCGAGTTGCCTGAGTCGTTGATCGTCGAGGGTAGGGTTCGGCTTTCGCCGCCGAACCTCGCGGCCGCCTCGGCCGTCTCCCACTGCAGGTCCTCGTCCACGTCTTCCCTGCCGACCAGGTTGCTCAGCAGCAGCGTACGCGTCGGGCCCCTTCTCTCGAAGTCGCCCCTCGCGTACCTTGGGACGCAGAAGGACATACTAGTACAAAATGTCTTCCTTGGAAGCGCACGTCCGAACCAAGCATGAAGTCAAAGTATCCTGCAGTCTGTTACTCCCGAGCGGTGTGGCCAGAAAGCAACCGCCACGAAGCCTATACTATGTAGTTTCTCGGCGCGCGAATTGCCTCTGGGGGGGCGACGCACACATAGTATTAGCATGTTGGGGTGACGCCGATACCTCTCCTCGTCGTAGAAGCGGGCCTTGACTGAGCGCCCGCCGAAGAACCGCCCGTTCAGGTCGGAATACGCCTTGGACGCGGACTGCACCTTGGCAAACTCCAGGAAAATCCGGACGGCCTCGTGGTCGGGAGCCCCGGGCGCCTCCCTGACGGTACACTTGACGAGTTTGCCGTACTTCGCGCACTCCTCGGCGGTCTCCCCCTCGAGATCCTCGTCCACCTCTGAGGGGCAACGTGTGGAGGGACCAGCTCAGGAGGGGAAACGTCGACATGGAATCGGCGAAACATCGCCGATAGATCGGCGATTGGCCCAGGATGGCACATCCGGAAATTCCTAGGCGGGGTAGGCTGTCGGGACCTTATCGGCGACGACTGGGCGACTGGGGGTCGATGCATCCACCTCAGAGCCTACAACCCCCCCTAGCGTTGCCCCCGAACCTCCCCAGGCCCCACCATGTTCGTGAGCATCACGACCCGCGTCGGCCCCCGGCTGAGCTTGGTCTTCTTCACCTCCCGCTCTTTCGCCTCTCGGCGGCGCGCCGAGGGGAAGGTGAGAGGGGGCATCATCATGATCAGGATCAAGATCAGGATCAGGATCATCATCATCAGCATCATCAGCATCATCATCATCATCATCATCAGCAGCAGCATCATCATCATCAACAATATTATCAACAGCATCGTCGTCATCATCACCCCATCAGCAGCATCCCCATCTTCATCATCATCATCATCATCATCAGCAGCATCATCACAATCATCATCAGTATCAGCATCAGCATCATCATCATCATCGTCCTCGTCGTCGTATAATCGTCACCATCACCGTCACCGTCGTCATCATCACCATCACCATCACCATCACCGTCATCACCGTCATCATCATCATCATCATCATCATCATCATCATCATCATCATCAGCATCATCATCATCATCAGCATCATCATCAGCATCATCATCACCGCCATCATCGTCATCGTCGTTATCATCATCATCGTCGTCATCATCGCAATCACCATCACAATGACCATCATCATCATCATCATCATCATCATCATCATCATCATCATCATCATCATCATCATCATCAACATCAACATCAGCATCATATCATTATCATCAGCATCATCATCACCAGCATCATAATTAGTGCAATCATCATCAGCATCACCATCAACATCATCGTCATCGTCATCATCGTCATCGTCATTGTCATCGTCACCGTCATCGTCAGCATCATCCTCACCAGTGAACAGCAGCATCATCGAGGTGAGCCGGGCCAGAGGTCTTCTCAGAGGGCGGCGGGGCTGCCTCAGAGGCCCTCCGGCCTTCCGAACAAGCTCTCCGTCGCTTCGGAGAGGGCTTCGAGAGCACTCCAGAAGGCAAGAGGCCGCCTGCGCCTTCTGCAAAAGCAGACCCCCTCTGAAGGGGTCCCAGGACACACAAATAAATACACACAAATAAAACGATTCCCCATATTTTCTCATATTTTCAGGGTTTCTGTCTTCCCCCCCACTTCCCATATTTTCCCATATGTTCTGGGGAGTCGAGGATTACTTGTGTCTGTGTGTTTCTTTTCCTCCTGACCCTCTGCCTCCCCCCCCCCCCCGGCGCGCCGGGGAGCCTCGCCCTCCAGGATCTGGAGCCCGCGCTTCCTGCCGCCGCGGTGGGCCTCTCGGAGCGCGCTCGCGAAGCTGCGGCGCTGGTGGTCCGTCGGCGCGTCCGTGGACGCGCCCTCTTCGACTAAGCGCGAGAGTGGCCCTGGGTAACCCTGAAAGGCCTTTAGAACCCCCCCCGATAAGGGGGGTAACTACTTGCTTTCATGTTATCCCGCGGCACACGCCGCGCAACAACAAGGAGGAGGAGGAGGAGGAGGTTTGAGGACCAGTCCTTTTCACCGCCGAGAGAAAGAGGGGGGGGGGGGGGGAAAAACCAAAGACATTGAGCGGTTAAGAGTGACCTTTGGTGCGCAGCTTTCTGGGGATCGCGGGGGGACCAAACACAAGCGCGGAACATGCTACTACCTCATCGCGTTCGGCGTTCGGGGGACCCCAGTGGGCCCGCACCAAATGTCACTCCAGCGAAGGGTCACCCTTGCGTCTAGTCGACCTCGGCAGTGACGGTGAGCATCCCGTCGCCCACCGTGAGCAGCAGGTCCATGGCGGGTATGAAGGCCCACTGCGCGCTGGACCCCGCCTCTAACGGAGGACGACGAGACCAACGACGACGACGGCGGCGATTGAAAAATTCAATACGGAAATTTGTCAACTGTTCCGGCCTCCTGGGGCCCTCGCCAGACCCCGGGACCGTCAAAAAACGACTCGAAATGCAAACCTGGCCCTGGGCGAAGGGTCGGGACTTCCGTGGACCCCGCATTTCAAGCGAAAACAATTCATCGGATCTCTGCGAGGGGGAACACTAGAAGACCAGCCTAGGGCATTTGAATCGGTGGCTCATCGCCGATAGATCGACGATACGCCCCTGAAAGCGAAAACGGACTTTCCGGGGCGGGCCGAGCGATCAGGCCACTATCGGCGGTGAACAGGCAATTCTGGGAGATGGTGATGGCTGGTATGAAGGCCCACTGTGCGCTGGACCCCGCCTCTGACGGGGCGGGCAGAGCCTGGCATCCCTGTTGTGAAAATCACGACAGAAAATTGTTGCTCAGTTTCGGTCTTCGCGGGCCCTCGCTGGGCCCAGCGAGCGTCAAAAAACGACTCGGGATGAAAAGCTGTCCTGGGGAAGAGGTCCAGGCCTCTTGAGAACCACGTTGTGAAACAATACGCGACGCCGGATGACTGAGCTGCTTGGGCGGGAGGATACGAATGCCGCTACTCGGCGGCGCGCCGAGGGGGGAAGTGAGCGGGGGCAGGCCATCTCGAAGGCGGCGGGGCTTCTCAGAAGCCCCATGGCCTTTCGAGAAGCCCTCTGCGGGGTCGGAGAAAGCCCAGAAAACTCGTCACAACGCCTGAGGCCCGCCCCATCCGCCGCCCCCCCAGCGGCTCGCCGCCGAGCCATAGCAGGTTCGCGTCGTGACGACTGCGGCATTGGCCTCTGGTCTCTAACACCGCGTGCATCGCTCCCCCTTGAATCGGCGGTGGACAAACCTCCCCTTAGTAGACCTCCCCTGAATGGAAACGGCCTGGGACCGAAACCGACGGACCTGGACCCGCAAAAATGACGGCCGCGACGCCCTCTCGCGAACCGAAAACGGCCAATTCCTTAATCGACGTGTCGAGGTAGGAGGTCTATCAACCTGCGATTGAACGCTCGGCGGCCTTTCGATCGCCAACCCGTTCCACACATCTTGGCCGATCCTGGGCCACTGGCGGCGCTCCACAGTGGGGGCGCAGCCGCGTCGACACGACACGGACCCACCGTGCAGCCGGGACCTCTCCCAGGGCGTGCGCCGAGCAGGATGCCGACGCGAATGCAGCCGTGGCAGCGACGCCCCCCCCCCCTCCCCAGGAATCCCGAGAAGGTGAAGACGGCGGAGGGGCAAGGGCGACCATCGGCATCGAAATGTGACACGTGGGCGACTTCGGAAATCCTGAGCCCAAAACTGTGTCCATCTCTTGGGGGCACATCTTTTACGTCCGCCGCCTTCCGCCGTGCTTCCGCCAGCTTCCGCTGGTGCAGGCGGCCTCGTTTTACTTCCGCCGACCTTCCGCCGCCCTTCCGCCGCCTTCCACCGCGGAAGAGATGACGACTCCTTTTTATCCTCGAAGGCAAGGCCCTTTCGTGGAACGCCCCATGTGTTTCTCTTGTGAGGCCTCGGCGGAGAAGAGCTCGAGGTGCTGAGCCGAGTCTTTGTGCTCGCTGCGCATCCACTGCACCACGTCCCCCCACAGCTCCGCGGCCAGGGCCCTCAGCTCCGCGTCGGTGGCAGCGGCGGCGCCGTGTTTGCCAGAAGGCAAGACGCTGGCGATAAAACCGCGCCACTTTATGGCCCAGGTGGACAAATCGTCGTCGGGGTCGGGCGCACCACCGTCCAGGTCGTCCTGGGGGGGCAACAAGAATACTCGTACCGCGAATTCCCGGACCGCTCCTGGGGCGCGTTCTGACCAGAACTTCGCAGACAACCCAGCCGTGGCAACCGAATCGAAGGAAGGCCTTCCTCCTCCTCCTCCTCCTCCTCCTCCCCTCCTCCTCCTCCTCCTCCTCCAACCTCCTCCTCCTCCTCCAACCTCCTCCTCCTCCTCCTCCTCCTCCTCCTCCTCCTCCTCCTCCTCCTCCCAGTCCTCCTCGGTCCTGGACCGGCTTGCCCACGCGACAGAGCAGCCGGCCCATGAAGTCCCCCCAGAGGCTGACCTCGTCGGAAATCCACTGCCCCGGGTCAACACAGACCCGGGTCAATCAGGCTCCGCGGGATCCTGCAGGATCCTGCAGGATCCTGCAGGATCCTGCGCCCAAGACCAGGTCAGTGCGACCCTGGCCCTGCCAGGATCCTGCAGGACCCGGCGCTCGGACGGACCCCCGGCGTTGACCCCCGTCTCCAAGCCCCGACCTCGGGGAACTGCGCCATGACCGGCGGCCAGCCGCCCCGCACGCAGCCGTCCTGCTTGACGGCCTCCACGGCGGCCGCGCGGTAGAGGAGGCTCAGGAATTGCGCCCGGACGCGCTTCGGCATGCAGTCGTAGGCGTTCCGCATGGCCGCCTGTGGGGGGGAATAATCCCCGAGATCCTGGCACCGCGATCTGTGCACAACGGGCGACTTCGCCGTGTTCTGGGCCCCTGGGCCCGCACGGATCTGTCCTGCTCGAAAATTGGAGCCAGGGCTCCAGCCGAGATTTTTTTGTAAAGTCGGAGCTCAGCGGTGGGGGAACAGAAAGGCACTCGTAACGCTACTCCCCGGACCTCTCCTGGGGTGCATTCTGACCAGAGTTTCGAGGTGAATCCAGCTGTGGCGACGAGGGGGCCTCCCAGGATGTCCAAGAAGGCGAGAACGAGGGAAGGTTCAAGGTGTATCGATGGCCAGTTCCTCCTCCGAGCCTGGGCGAACAGGTCCAGGAGCCAGTCCTCCTCGAACCTAGGGGGAACAAAACGGCACCACACTATGATTGAGCTCTCGTTCGGAGGCCCGCGCGAATTTCTAGGATGGCCCCAGACCCCCATCCCTAGGGCACAGCGCGGAGCCCAGAAATCCGCGCGGCGCTCCGACAGCTCATATATATATATATATATAATATAATATATTATATATATATATATATATATATATATATATATATTAATATATATTAATATATATATATATATTAATATATGTATATTTAATATTTATATATATATATATTAATACGCCACTTTTTCGCCGCGACTCCAGAGGGTGTGGCTTGCACCAGGTGCGGTGTGCAGCCCGCTCCCCGGGGAGCGGGCGAGGACCTCGACGGAGTTCTCCGCCGCGAGGCCCGGCGAGGGCAGCGTGGTGGGCCCCGAGCGCAGATCGCAAATCACACCCCAGAGCAACCACACCCTCTGTGGTCGCCGAGCTTCTTCCTAGAGAACTTGCCGTCGCTCGGACGTCCATTTCCCGTGTCTTGTTCGGTCTCGTGCGCGTGTGTTTTGCTCGATGGTCCAGGATGGTCCTCGATGTTTCTCGCAGAGAAAAAATGCACACGTCCGAGCGATGCCACGAGAACCACTTGGAGAGCAGCGTGTCCCGGGCGCACCCCGACCAGACGGGGGAGGACGTGAACGCCGCCACGGCGCGCCGCCGAAGGCCTCGCTGGGAGTCCAGCGGCACCCCCTCGCCGCTCAGGCCGAGCACGCCGTAGAGCAGCCTGGAGGCCTCGGCGATGAGCGCGGCCTGGGGAAGGCCCTCCTCCCAGGGGCAGCCCCGGGGCAGGCCAGGGATGACAAGCCCAGGCAGGCCCAGAGGGTAGGCCTGGGGCGGGCCCATGGAAGGCCCGAGACAGGCCTGGGGCAGGCCCAGAGAAGGCCTCGGATAGACCCCGGGGGGCAGGCCCAGGGGAGGCCTGCGGAGTGCCGAGGCAAGGCCCAGGCAGGCCCAGGGGCTGGGCCGTATAGGCCGCAGGCCCAGCAAGGAAGGCCGGCCGGGAGAGCCCGGGCCAGGCGAGCCCAGGACTGCCCGGGAGAGCCTCATGGGCAGGCCAGGCAGGCCCGGGGAAGGCCTCCCCTCCCAGGTGCTGCACTGGCCTGAGGGCGCTCCAGGGCCTCGGGCGCGACCGCAGAGCCCAGCACCAGACAGATCCTCTGCACTGCCTTCCGCGTCTCGTCCAGCAGCGCGTTCAGCTCCTCCACCGCCTCAGAGAGGCGCCTGCAGAAAGGAAGGGGTACCATGCAGCTCACCGATCCTCCCCAGGCTCACCCTGGGCCCAGGATGCGCCTCTGCGCCTCGGCCAGGGAGGCACGTGCACCGATCCTGGGCCCAGGATCGGCGTGGCCAGTTTCGGTGCGTCTGCATGTTTCGGCGGCCAGCGAGGGGGGAAGTGAGAAGGAGAAGTCTTACGGGAAGGCTCGGACAACTTCTTAGAAGGCCGGGGGGACTTCCGAGCCTTCTGAGAAGGCCCGCCCCTTCTCACTTCCCCCCGGGCTCGCCGCCGAATGTTCTCGTCGCCCGAGCCTGAACGCGTCGGGCGCCTCGGCCACGCCCGGATTCTTGTCCGGATGCAGGGCGCGGGACAGCTGCCGGTACGCGTACTTCACGTCGGGCTCCCCGTAGCCGCCGTGGTGGGAGCCTCCCAGCCGGAGCACCGCTCCCGCGCCAAGTTTATGGTCTGCGGACGGTTCGGTGGCAACTCATGGGAGCCTCCCATACCATCTTGTCGGCTCTTGCGAGTCGACGCCAATCGACGCTAATTAATTCGACGCTAATAGACGCTACCCGACGCTAATTCAGCGCTGCCTCACCGACTCCCAGACGCTACTCGACGCGAATCGACGATACAGACGACATTAAGAGGGTATACCAGGCTCCCATGAATTGCTACCGAAGGACGGGCAAATGCGGCGGATCTCCCTGGCGGGGTCCCCGACCAGTATCTTCTGCTCTGCGTGGGCCATTCTCGTGGCGTCCCTCAAGCTCTGCAGAGCTGCACCTGGATGGCCCAACAAACACAAAGCTGCCATGTAACCTTCGCACGTCCGAGCGGATCCCTCGGATCGGCGCTGCATTCCCCTTGGCTGCTCATTCTGGGGACCTTCCTGGAGCCACTCGCTCCACTCGTGCGTCGAAGCTGCGTCGAACGTCCGTCGATTCGAGTTGGCCCTGAGTCGAACCTGAATCGAACTTGAGTCGAACTTGAGTCGACCTTGAGTCGACCTTGAGTCGATCTGGGGTCGCACTGGAGTCGGACAGATCCACTAGGTGGGCCTCGGGAAGGTCCCCACCACATCGAGCTTCATGCACGCCCCTCTCCGCGGCGCGCGCCAGGTGCGTCGCTTCTCGTGGGCTCCCTGGCACCGTCCGCGAACCACGGCTCGTCTCCGCAGGCCTCTGCGGAGCCCACTCGGGCCAGGCCCTGGCCGCGAGCAGGAGCCATACCCATACCCACAGCCTCGCGGCCTGAGCTCCTCGGCCGCGACCCCAGGGATACTGGGCGTATGCTACGCGCGGAGCGCATCCGTGTGAACGCGCCTGTACGCCACAAGAAACCTTCCACAAGAAGCTCAACCCTGAGACCCCAGGGCGTCCATCGATTTCTGGTGTGGGAGCGTCACGCCTTCCATGGCAAAGCCACCGAAACCCAAGAAACCCAGGGCACCCTGGAGGCAAGCAGGGTGCTTCTTGGCATGGGCCCCCACTGTATGGCATCGCGCCTCGGTGTACAGACCGCGAGGGCATGGACATGGATATGTTCCCAGACCTCAAGCGACGTCATGTTTTCGCAATCCGCAGCCCCAGAACTCCCGAACCCTTCCCCCCGGGGATTGGTGTTTCGCCCCAGACCTGGTCACGGGGGCCCCGGAGCGGCCCCCAGAGGCCGGAATCTGGGAAAAACGCCAGGACTGAGAACATCAATCCGCCGGATGTCTGTGAGATGCTCGTTCTGGGGAACTTCCTGGAGTCACTCGCTCCACTCATGCGTCGACGCTGCGAGGAACGTCTGTCGACTTGAGTTGAACCTGAGTCGAGCCTGAATCGAGCTAGAGTGGAACTACAGATCCATCAGATGGGCTCCAAGAAGCGCGCTGCGCGGTGGTCAGCTTGGCGCCCTCGCGAGGACACTTTGGGAGACGGACAACTTTCCGACCCAGGCCGCGACACGCGAAGCGCGATGATCTTCACGCCCTGCGGGTGACTGGGTGGCCCAGGAGATCCCGAGATCCCTGCCTTCCATCGGTCGACATCTCGAGGTCAGGCATCCCGCAACGCCGCATAACCCTCACGCCGCACGCTAAACCTCGCCCGACCCCAAAGCGTAGGGCGACGAAATCCATACATATCCACTTCTCTCTGGCCAGGCCCATCCTGAACCCGGGAGCTGTGTATATGCCACGTCATCCCGGCCCGGCCAGGAGGGCGTATACACAGCTCCCAGGTCCAGGATGGGACTGGCCAGGGAGCCGTGGATAGGTATGGATTTCGCCAGATCCCAGAGCGAGCATCTCGTGTCCCGGCGCGTCGCTCATGACCTGCGTCTCGGTCTGGAGGGGCAGCAGGGGCGGCGGGGGTGGCCGCAGACTAGGCGCGGGCTGCCGCGTCGGCGGGGGTGCCGGCGCAGGCGCTGCTGCGGCGGCGGGTGCCGCGGCGCGCTCTGGGGCCGTCGGACCCCCTGCGGCACCGGACTCCGCCCTCGCCGGAAGCTGCCAGACTTGGCGGCGCGCACAACGGGGTAGGGAGAGGAGAGGAGGCTTCTTAGAAGCTGAGAAGGAGGCCCGCGCCTTCCGAGAAACAGGGGCGCTTCTAAGAAGCCCTCCCCTCTCCCCCTGCCCCCCTCTGCGCGCGGCCGACAGACCCAGATCGACGATCCTCAGAACGGGTGTTAGCGCCCACGTGTGGTTGTCCATCTAAGCCCTGCCATGGATTCCATGCGGCGCAGGCAGCGTACGCTGAGACTCTGGCGTCGCCATGCTTTTCTCAACAGGCGATTTGTTGCCCTGTGTTGGGCATCCGGCTCGGAAAATGCCGCAGAAAGATACGGTCTTGGGCTCCAGTCGTAATGTTTCGCTATGTTTCATGTTGTTCGCAACGTCGGATCTCAGGGGACGCCGGCAGCTTAATGGCCGGCACACGCTGCAGGCTATCAGTGGAGCTGAGCAAGGCACACACACACACACACACACGCACACCAGGCTAACATACGTCCTGAGGGTCATCGCCAGGACATCCGAGGGATTTAAGTTTCAATCCCAGCTTTTGTTCCGCAGTTTCGGCCTACAGGGCCAGCTCCTGGGGGGCGCTTGTTGGGTCCAGGGGCCATCAAAACTTACCCAGGATAAGATCACATGGTCCCCAATTTCGGCCTCCAGGGGGCTGATTTCAAGCCCGGGTGCCATCAAAATCCGCCGACCCATCGTGATTCTCCAGGCGTGTGAGATCGTCCTCCCCCCTAGTCCCTGCCCCAAGGACCCCAAATCGGCAATTTGACCCAACCCTGGCCTGAGACAACCGCATCATGAAGGAATCATGGGGGGATAGAGGGCCCCAAAATGGGCCAAGAGGGCCCCAAGAGGCCCCCAAGACTGTCTACGAGTGCCCCTAGTCGACGACAGATCATTCCAAGATGCCCAAGTTGGCCTCCAGACGGCACAAGATGCTCACAAGACGCCCCAAGACGCCTCAAAGAGGGCTCCCAAGAGGGCTCCCAAGAGGGCCCTTAGAGGCAAAACTTATTGATTTTAAACAAGGGTTCAAAGGATTTCGGCGTTCTCGCCTTTTTCGTTTCCCGACGCGCCAAGACGGCCCAAGAAGCCCCTAAGATTGCCCCAAGACGGCCCAGAAGGTCTCCAGGAGGCCCCCAAATTGGCCCAAGAGGGCCCCGAGACGGCCCACGAGGCCGCCAAGACGCCCCCCCCCCACCCCCCTCAGACGGGGGGGGGCTCAGGCGGGGGACCCGAAGGACATCTCGAGCCCTCGACTTCGAGAGGCTCCCAGGAGGCCTCCAAGAGACTCCGAAGCGGCCCCCAAGAGGCCCCACGAGGCCTCCAAGAGACTCCAAAGAGGCCCCAAAGAGGCCACACGAGGCCTCCAAGAGACTCCAAAGCTGCCCCCCCGACAGGCCCTCGAGAGCGCTCCGAACCCCGAGAAGCACCCCGGAGGACTCTGACACCGAACTCGCGCACGGTGGCGGGACGGGCCGAGGGCCCTTCGATGTCCGCCGCCCCCCTGTCGATTCATCGCAGGGGTTGCCCGGCGTGCCGAAACCTATCGGTTTTGGTGTCGGCAGAAGAGCTCCCCCGAACGCTTCGGCCCGTCCCGACCGGGGGCCCCCCCAAGACCGATAAAGTGCCCAAACCATCGCCCAATTCCCGAATGTGCCTCCAAGACGGCTCAAGATGGCCTCCAAGATGGCCACGTTGGCCCAAGATGGTCTCCAGGATGGTCCCAGATGGCCTCCAAGTCCGCCGAAGATGCTCCAAGACGGCCTCCAAGACGGCCTCAGAGAGTCCAAGATAACCCCAAGTTCGCCCAAGAAGCCTCCAAGACGCCTCCAAGACGGCCCAAGAGGTTTCCAAGAGGTCCTCCAGGAGGGCCCGAAGAGGCAAAAATCATTGATGTTCCTTAGAGTGTTGAAGGATTTTGGAATTTGCTTCTTCTCGGCATTAAGACGGCTCAAGACGGCACCCAAGATCGCAAAAGAGGCCCCCAGGAGGGCCCCATGACGGCCCAAAAGGTCTCCAAGACGGCCCCAAGAGGGCCCCAAGACGGCTCAAGAGGCCAAGACGGCCCCGAAGCGCCCCAAGAGGGCCCCGAGTCGGCCCAGAAAGGCCCCCAAGACGGCTCCCGACGGCGTCAGACGTGTCAGGAACCCACCAAGATGGCCGAAGGTGGCTCGAAGCTGGCCCAAGGCGGCCCAAGAGGCCTCCAAGAGGGCCTCCAGGAAGGCCAGAAGAGGCCAACAGAATGTATGTTCCATAGGTTTTTGAGGGATTTGGGCATTTGCTTCTGTTCGGCCGTCCGACGGCCCGTGACGGCCCAAGAGCCCCCAAAGATCGCGCAAAGATCGCCCAAGAGGCCTCCAAGAAGGCCCCAGAACGGCCCAAGAGGGCCCCAAGACGACCCCAAGATACCCACAAGACGGTCCAGGAGGCTGCCTTTAAGACGCCCAAGATGGCCTCCAAGACGGCCCTGGAGCATTCCAAGAGGACCCCAAGTCGGCCCAGAGAGGCCCCCCAAACGGCTTCCGACGGCGTCAGACGGACCAGAAGCCCACCAAGACGGCCGAACATGGCCCTACGATGGCCCAAGACGGCCCAGGAGGCGCCCGAGAGGGCCTCCAGGAAGGCCCGAAAAGGCCCAAATCATTGAGGTGTTTGAAGGATTGTGGCATTTGTTTTTGTTTCGGCCTTCCGACGGCCCGAAGAGGTCTCCGAGACGCTCAAGATGGCCTCCAAGACGGCCCAAGAGCCCTCCAAGACGTTCTCCAAGAAGGCCCGAAAGGGTCAAAATGGCCTCCAGACGGCCAAGATGACCTTCAAGATGCCCACGTGTGGCTTTCCGAACCGATTCGGGGAACACACAGTCCGATAGCTTGGCAGGTCTGGCCTCAACGTTCGGCCACATAGGCGCTTCCAAAAAGGCAGGGGGCGGCGGTGATTCGCCGTAGGCGTCTTCGATAAGGTCCCCGACACAATGAAAGGGGTCGGCGGATGGGGCGCAAGCCTGTAGAATCGGCTCCAGAATGGAAAACCTACCCTCAGAGGAAGCCGCTCTGGAGCTCCGGGGCTGAAGATTCTGACCCCCCCGAAAAGAATCGGATGTCCGCAGCTGACAAAATGCATGAACAGAAACTTTCGGATGTCCGCGCAGAATTCTTGGACAAGCGCTGCGCCCCCCTCCCTGGCGCGCTCCGCGCGCCAGGGACGGAACTGGAAGCGCCACCAGGGGAGCCCAGCACCGATCCGAGAATTCCGCGCGTACCTCCGACAAGTTTCTGCTTATGCTGTTTTTTCTTCGTCGAGTCTGGGGAGGTCAACCTGGTCCAAGGTGCCCCCAGCTTCTCGCGCCGCT